TAAGGTTCCCGTCTCCAGACAAGCTGGTGTTTGTGAGCTCGTTGTACAAGAGCGTGCCAGAAGAACAAAATGTAACAAGGCCCCCCACGCCCCTTGTTAAATGTTTTTTTTTTTTTTTTTTTCGAATTGAAGTTTGATGGAAGGAGGGTTATGGAGCTTTCTTTTGTACTGAAGCCCCCTTGGCGTATTTCAAGGACAATTGTGGACAGGAAGTTACGCAAGCGTCGCCAAAGACTAATCGAGCAACACAGAAGGTTCACACATGAATATTTTAAACCTTTTCGAGAAACTTCATATGGAGTTTATTCTAGAACGATAAGTTTGGAACAAACAAAAAGGTGCCCGTATATCTTGCGGACACCGTCTTTATAACCACCAACAAACAGGCGTTCCAAGGACCCGGCTCTTGAGACGCCCCTTAACAGTTTTCGACAGGTAGACTTCGCGGCGACGCCTCAACCGCCTTGCCACAGCAAGGCCATGATAACGCGGTTATTTGCCGAATATTTCTATGGCGGCAGTGGCGTAGGCAAGGGTTTAGCGAGGGCTGGGGAAGTCACCCCCTCCCCCCCCCCCCCCCCCCCCCAACCCTATCACTTTTTTTTTTTTTTTTGTAAAGGAACAAAAATATGTAATGACAACCGCGGTAGGTTGGGGACGGTCGTGTCTGTACCCGTGAATCGTACAGTACATCAAATACTGCGCGCAAAAATGAAATTAAAGCGCCCCCCCCCCCCCCCCCCCCCCAACCTCCGGTCATGGAAAACTCAACCGCCCTGCCCTCCCCCGAAGATAATTCCTGGCTACGCCACTGCATGGCGACGTCCGCTAACGGAGTTTCCTAATAATAATGGAAATTACCAGAAACTGTAGCATAGGAAAAGGATAGTCTGAATAGCCGAGAGAATGAGGGTACGTTTTGTGGGACACCTCCTGCCCATTATAACCTTCTTGTTTCTGTCAGATGATCAACATCCGAGATTCTGACCCCATTGAGTCCCGATCTATTGTTCTTTATTTACTAAGGCGCCACCACTTTTACTTTGTGGCATATTGCCGCAACATTGGGCGCGTTAAGTCCGTGCTCCGGAGCGCGAGAGCAGCGAGAGTTTGGCGCTCCTTTCACTAAACGGTCAGGAGTGCCACCGGAGACTGACACTCGAGCGCGCTCTTCGTGCACCGAGAATTTTTCGGAGCGCGAGTGACTTCTTCGCGCTCCGTGACGTCACGTAAACAAACAAGATGGCTGCGCTGCTCTTGCGACCGTCGAGGCGAAAAGGCGTAGGCGGACCGCTGCCCCTTTTCAGTTGATTAGTGCTTAATCCAGCGGATAAAAAGGATTTGATTTGAAAGCCAAGACAGAAATTAGTGTCCCGAAAAAGGTTTGTTCGTTCATCTCGCTCTCGCCTAAAAAAGAAATTGATCTATCAAAAGGCACCGTGCCGATAGCACTGCGACAGAAAAGTTGTCAAGATGAGGAGATATTCGGACCGCTCTGTCTCTTTTATAATACTTAGCCCAGCGAATAAAGATAGTTCGATTTGAAAGCCGAAACATCAGCGAGCGTCGATGAAAAGGTTTGTTCGTGCGTCTTGCCTAAAAACGAATTGTTCTATCGAACGAGCGTGCCGATAGCTCGGCGACATAAAAGTTATGAAAAGACAGTCAGACGGCTGCCCGCTGCCCTGCTTAGAATGCTTAGCCCGGCCTACGGCCCGGCCGCAGCGAATAAAGATACTTAGTTTGGAAAGCCAATGTTTGTTCATGCATACCGCCTAAAAACGAATTGACGTGCAATCGAACGACGGTGTGCCGGTATCGGCGTAACTTCCGCCTCGCTGCGAGGCGGAACCGACGGAACCATGGAATCTCTGACAAAAGGGAGTTTTCGTAGACCGCGCTGCCCCCTCCGCTAAGCGTTCCGCAACGAAGAAGTCGCTACTGCGCCTGCGCGCCGATAGCCTTGACTGTGGAGTTTCCGCTATCGCAGCGGGTTGCGGAGGGCCTTGCGGGACGGCGAAAACGATCTACGAAAACTCCCTAAATTTGAGGGTTTTCCTGCGTCGACAAGCGGGTGCAAGAATGTTGTGCCGGAACAGCATGCACGGTCAATAAATAGATCAACTGAGGCAACCTTCCACCACCGTGCTACACTGTAACCGTGCCTTCCACATTTGTGCACGAAGCGAGTCTTCAAACCTTTCAGGAATATTAAAACGTTCGTACAAACTTCATAACATTGCCGTCTCTTTTGCTTTAGACTCTGCCGCTCCACCCGGGCCTAATTATTTATCTTCGAAATATTTTCGGCTTCTGCCACCCATATCCACGGTTGGAAGGTGCTCGTGTGGGCCGTGGCCCGTCGATAGTTTCTGGCCGTGTTCCAAGATCTCATCTCTATGGTTCCAAACTTACTCAATCTAACTCTAGGGTAAAAGTGGTTATCGAAGACCTACCCGCGTCCAGCGTTTCTCTATTTTTGTTGTCACGTGACATAAAACGCCAGGGTAACTCGGATCCGTTCGAGTAGGTTTGGAACGCAGCCTCGGTGTGTCGCTCTCCTGTACGCTATGCGCCGTTTAGTTGCTGCGCTCGGAGTATGAAACTCGGAGCGTCGGAGTAGGAGTAAAGGAGCGCCGACTTAACGCGCCCATTAGTTCGGACGGAGTACTCGGAGACATGTCGCAGGACCACCAACACCCGCAGATGGTCCCCATAAGAAGGGTGAGCCGAAGTCGGTGAAACAGACAGATTCCTTGCCGCCCCTACCACCGCGGGCGCCGGCCTCCTTCACCTCCCGGTTTCGTGCTGACGCGTCCGCCGTCCATTCTCGGTCGTGGGCTGAACCAGGCAATTTTCTGCTAGTTTCAAGCGTGGCCACGCTTTCTCTCTTTTTTTTTTCTTTCTTTTTTTTTCTTTCTTTTTTGTCAGCGAGGAGTATTAAGAAAAATACTTCAAGATGGCGATTTCACCATGTCCACGGCAACGGGGTCCAATTTATTTAGTAAAAAGAAGTAACTGACGGCCTAAACAGTTAGTCATCCAATCAAAAAGTAACAGTGTTACAGTTACAAGTTACCAGCATTAAAGAGTGCACGTAACGGGTAAAAGTTACTGAAAATAAGTAACTAGTTACCGGTAACGCGTTACTAGTAACTAGTTACTGGCCAAGACTGGTTTGAGCCGACCAGACCCGAGCGACGGGAGCATCTAGCGACTGAGTCAAGAAAGATTGGGTATGCCATGGGTGTGGCGGCTGCATTGTTCAAACGTGAGCTATTACTCTGCTGGCGCCGCTTACCAGTGGCGCAGCCAGGGTTCAAGGGTTAAAACACACCCCGAAATTTCATGGTTTTCCTCTTTCTCCCTTTCCGCTTTCCAATGTCAGTTCTTTTTTTCTTTTCGTTTTGTTAAGGATTTAAAAATCCCATGTGTTTCTCTTTCTGTTCGATAACTACGGCGAAGGGCCGGGCCCACAACATTCCCAAGCAAAACGAAGGTGACGACACTGTCCGTGGACAGCGTGAGAAATACGGCTCTCTGAAGAACTCTCGCCAAGCTTAGCCGTGTTAGTAAGCGAAGGTCTCGCAAGTGCCAATGGCTGGAAGTAGAAAATGGAGCTTAGGCTTTAGCGGTTTGGAGGTCGCCTTGTGAGTTGACCTTGGGGTTGTTGTTGTTCAAGTGGTCGGCTTCCTCTTCGAAAGTGTTGGAGGGGGGGGGGGGGGGGGGGGTAGTAGCTTATGGTGTCTGGAGCGAACTCGTGGATCGTCTTGTTTATGCCCGTTTGAGTTCGTTCTTTCCCTTTCTCCATGTGCTCGAAAGTCTATTTATTGGTGTGCTCATATCAATAAATTTCAGCTGCGTTTGAGATTTTGTTGTCTTCATCCATATTTTTTTTTTTATCATTCCCCATTTCAGGGTCTACAAGATGTTGATTAATTACCAGCTCGCCTGCACTCTATCACTGCTTACAATCGCATTTTTCTTTTCTTCCCTCCCGTCTTTTTTTTTTTTTTTTCTTCTCCTTTTATCTGCACTCCTTTATTTTCAGTAATAAAACAACCAAAATATTAAAAAAAAAGCGCGAGAGAAAAACGACAGCATATGCACCGTGGAAGCAACTTTGAAGTGCTCATAGTCACTTAGTTTCAAAGCGTACCAGTGATTTCCCTACACACCCCCTAGGGGGCTGTACACCCCCCTTGTTATTCTGAAGGCACCTCCTCAAAGGGCCTATGAAACGAATTTCGGGCTGGAGTAAATCAATTTATATTGGGATTTTACTAATAGCACATCGTTCAGTGGGCCAAAAGAAAAAAAAGTAGAAAGCTAAAAGCCTGACTTTCGGTACGAAAATTTTGAAAACACATCGGACTATTTTGTACCTCCTTCCCTTCGTAAGCTCTCTGCCTTTTCACTGTAATACATCCGCGGACCCCGCAGCGCGTCACCGGGCACCCGCAGCGCTTCATCGGGCCCAAACGCACGTCACGCGGCACCGGACCTCACTCAATCCCTTCACCCCTAAGCTGACATTGTGGTGGAAGCTACGCGCTTGCCGAACCAATCAGCCACCTCCCTCTCATCACCTGACTTTATTCTCTGCGCGTCGTTATGCGCGAGAGAGCGTGATCACGTGGAAAATGTGTGGCTGGCCCAACGAGCACGTAGCTTCCACCGGACTGTCGGCTTCGGGGTGAACGGGGTGGGGAAAGCAACTTTTGTCTGAATTTCGAGCGACGGGATGATCTTCTAGGGGGGCAATGGTTGTGTCCGGCTGCAGAAACGAGATTCCGTTGCAGAAACGAGACCCCCTTTTCCGTCTTCTTGAACTGTTTGGTAGAATGCGCGATTTATGAGTTGAGGAGGAAAGCGAAACTGGAAAAAGTTGGAAAAGCGTTTCATGACTCCTTTAATTCGCAACGACTCCTCTATTCTCAATGCCTCCCCCCCCCCCCCCCCCCCCCCCCCCCCCCCCCCCGCGCAAATTTCATTCCTGGGGAAACCAATTAAGCGTACTTAGTTGACTTCCTTAATCGCTGAAGTGAGTAATGTTGATATTATTGCGTTCAGCACATGAGTCTAAAAGTTGCTTTACGTATATAGACTGTCAAAAATTAGTTCAATAGCCAAGCTGTCGCGTGACGCTTTTATCAAGAATGATAATTGACCTACACCTTCAAGTGTGCCATCAAGGCATCCAAAAGAGTCGGCACATTCACGCCAGGCAAGCATCTTCCGCCCTAGGCGAGAGCGATGTTGTGGCCAACGACGCCGGTCTCTATGTCGCAAGCCTCAACTTCGAGCAAATGTGCAGCCTGTGCGGTGCATTCGTAAACTGCCTGGGGAAGCGGATTTGGAAGGACCGCAACGCTTAGCGCGTCTCAGCGGTGCGGAGGCCTTGTATCCTAATGAGCCGCCTGCTAATGCTACAGCAGAGAGAGTGTATCCCGACCTGCTCACGAAGAGGGAAAGGAGGAACGGGGGAGTCCACATCACTTTTCTCCCGTTTCTCCTCTTGAACAGGTTGGCATACGCGCTCTCTTCCCAGTAGCTTGGCTGTACGGAGTATAGCGTCCTCTAGAGATTTCTTGCAGTATGCCACCCAAGCGGTTGCAGCCTGAAGAGTAAGTACCCAAAGTGATTTTTGTTTCATCCCATAGCGAAAGCGACAATCGAGAACGAGTATAGCATGTGCCTCATGTTTTGAAATATGTTTTTCATTACCATTTTGCATCGTAAGTGTGACCGGCGCCGATGCTACCAGCCCGAGCGTGTTGTTTTGCACGACGCTGTCACTTCACCATTGTGCGTCAAGTTCATAGCAGTCAATTTCAAAGCGTTGCGCTCGTTTTTTGTTTACTCTTATTCGCTCGTAGTTCTGGTATGTGATGAGACGAAGATAGTGCTAGCACAGCGACTTGTGTCCGGCGACACCGTAAAGTAATAATAAAAATAATGATGATGATAATAATAATAATATTATAAATAGCTTTATTTACCATGTATAAGCTAAAAACATCAACACGGCGTCAGTTCTGGATCGGTATCCATGCGCGCAAAGGCACAGAGACGCAGCAGTTCGGCGTGCCGAGAAGGCTTTGATCACGCCGCGGACCGGGGGAACTTGCTTTCGACGAGTTGTGTCTTTTACCTACTCCACTGCGCTTTCGTAGAAATTTCTGTGTTCTCAATGCCAAGTCTCACCGCGTGAGTTTTAGAAAAACTTCTTCGGCGAATGACGACGAACGAGTAGTGTCTTCACGACGCAGCCGCAAGCCTCTGCAACGCTAGCGAGAATGCGATTTTGTTGCATGCAAGAGGGCCGCCCGGTGGCCGCACTCGCGCTCATAGTGCTCGCGCTGCAGCGCCTGCAGCAGAGTTGGTCGTGCCTGCAGCGACCAAGCGGGGAAGCGCGATCCACCAAACATGTCCTCCGAGTTCCCGAAGTGAGCGAATGCGGGCGCGCTTCGGGATCTCGGGAGGAGATCAGTGATCGTCCATCTTGAAGTGCGGCGAACGGTCCCAACATGGGTCCCAACAAGAAACACCTCTCGGAGACGAATTTATCCTCCTTGCCAGCTCGTTTCCTCTGCTGTACTCTTTCCTTTCCTTTCTACTCCTCCTTTCGGTCTTCCAAGTTCTTCCCGCGCCTCGCTCGGCCGTTCGGCCTTGATGGTCGGCTCTTTGTGCTCCTGGATGCTTGCTCCGTGGCGGTCGTGACGCAAAAGAACTTGTCGCTGGCAGCTGTCCTGGCTGTCGAGCGAAGCAGGCGTGTTTGCGGCAGCTCTTCCGAAGGCGTGCGAAGCTAAGTGTATTTGGTGTTTCCTTTGTAGATTTTGTTCTAGCGTGCATGAAATAGTTTGCATAGATTTAGGAAGCACTAGCATATGAACTTCGACTAGTTTAGGCCGCCGGGAGACCACTGGCAAGGCTAAAGTAAAGCTTCATTGTCATTTTTGGCAGTTTTCTTTTTCTTGTTGTGTTTAGACTGTTGTTCACTCCACTCGCGCCTTCCAGTGCCGTCCGAAAGTGTGAAGCACAAATCACGCTTATTCTGACATATGTTCCATCAGCCGCTCGCCGACAATAGACCGATCTCACCAGCCAGTTTGACTACGCCACCGCTGCCGCAATGCATCGGGGGAACTTTAGTCTTTCTGTGCGTGCAAGCACCTCGCTGGAGCTCTGCGCGTGCAGGCTGTGCAGGCCACGGGGAGTTGCCGCAAACTGTCGCCGCGAAGCGGCGTAAAGCGCAGCGCGACGGATGGGTTAACGCGCGCCCCCGTTATTCGCTAAAACGACCATTCGCTCAAATGTCGCCGTTCGCTAAAATGTCATTCGCTCTTGTGATATGGACCCTTTCCACTCACTTGATCGAATGACGTTTTAGCGAACGCCCACGTTTCACCGAACGACACTTTAGCGAATAGTAGGACGCCGCGAAGCGGCGTTTTCGGGTGGGCCAAATGGGTTCACATTTTTGAAATGAGCCGCCGCAGACTGTCGCCGCTGGCGGAGCGCAGCGCGGCGGATGGATTGACGCGCGCCCCCGTTATTCGCTAAAACGTCGATTCGCTCAAATGTCGCTGTTCGCTAAAATGTCATTCGCTCATGTGATATGAATCACTGATGGGCACGTTAAAGGGACACTGACAAGGTATTTATGCTCGCCGAGGCTTTTAGTTGTGCGTGACATATGAGAGCTGAACTACCCAGAACAGAACACCAAATTTAATCAAAGTCGTGGGTCACTGAAGGCACACACTCAGCATTAAAAATAGAAAAAATATGAAACCCATTTTTTGTGGCTTCTAAAAAGCTGCAAATACGTTGATTGAAAAAAAAAAAGTTCCACAGACAACCGGAAGCATTCTGTGCGTTCGTCGTTCGGCGATGGCAGCGGACGACCGGCGTGGGACCTTTATTTCAGAACTGTTGTTCGCGGTACCGGCGAATTCTGTCTACCTTTAAAAGAGAAATTCGGGACTGATCAAAAGAATTGGTATTCATCCCGTACGACACGCCCGACCACCAAGCCGATTTGCACGAAGACGTCGCCGAGCCGTCGCTCCCTTCTCGTGGCTGAAGACATCGCTCGCGCAAACGTCAAGCACGACGTGTCTACTTCGAGTTGAACATGCACGCGTACGATTTCTTTACTAGGTGTGAATGTCGCCAATACGTGGTGCTTCCCGACTTCGACCCGGGAGTGCTTTTGCTAGAGGAAAATCGGCAGCTAACTTTCGGACTTACCCCCCATTCACACTGGAAGCGGATCCGCGGTCGCGAAGCGGTTGGGAACGCGGTTGTATAAAGATCCAGTACAAATGCACGCGCATTTGATGTCATCGTGTGCGCGTGCAATTGTACTGAATCCTTATACAACCGCGTTCGCAGCCGCTTTGCGAACGCGGATCCGCTTCCAGTGTGAATGAGCCCTTACAGTTTACCGATCATTACTAAGGAGAGAGATCTACAAGTAGGAGGTGCCCCGGTAGCTTAGTGGGAAAGACGTCCGCTTCATACTCGGTAGGACCGGGATCGATCCCCCGCGAAACTTTTTTTTTTTTTTTTCAAACATTTTCCGATGTTTACATTTTTTTTTCTTTTTTTACAATTATCACTGAAGAAACAAAAAAAAAAAATAACAAACAAATGTTGTGGACAACACTTCGATGAGTTAAATGGTATGGAATTTCCTTTTTGACACTTGCGAACTCAATGTAATCACTTTCCACAAAATGTAAGGAGCATATAAATAAGGAAGCCTGTGCTTTCCGAGGTGCCCGTACATGTTGAATTGCAGCCATCCATTGGTCCCGATTTCGTTGATCTTTCGGAAACTCTGTCGCACAATGCCCCCCCTTTTTTTTTTTTTTTTTTCGGACGCAGGACATGTGAGCCAGCTCTTCACGCAACATCTTGGGTGTATTATTTTCGGAGCCGATCATGGAAATTCACCACGGGCACTCACTACTCATCTCCAACTCCTCAATGTACAAAACAACTCATCTTGGAGTACAGAACAGCGAGCGGAACAAATATAAGTTATAACTGCAAAAGGATCGCACGGTGAACAGTTCCCGTACGCCGCATGTCGTGTCGTCTGCTACGGAGAGGAGAAAAAAAAAAAAAAAAAAAAAAAAGAACGCACGGTTGGGTGTAGTCACGTGACTTCCGCCACTCACTCTCTTCTCTCCACTTCTCCGACCTCCGTCGGGTTTCGGTTTCGGTTTCGAGCAGTTGCGTCTTTTGGCTTTATTAAAAAAATACGCTGCTCTGTTGCAAAATATTAATTGGGTAGTCCTCTGACACATAATGAAGCGCCTGACAAAAAATGGAAAAACATTTTTTGGGGGTGTCAGTGTCCCTTTAAAGGGCCGCCCACACTAGCGAGAAAGCGCGCGTGGCACGCCGATCGCGGGAAGACGCGTCTCGCATCCTGAAGACCACACTAGATAGAGTTCTGCCGTGGCGGAAAATATGTTCGCAACACAGCCCCTCGCCTGCGTTCACGCCGCTTCGCGGCGACAGTATCGGCTGCTAATTACAGTTGACCAGTACACGCCGCTTCGCGGCGTCCAGCTGGCAACCCAAGTTAACCAGTACACGCCGATCGCGGCTGTCCCCGATCGCAGCTCCGGAAAGGAAAACCCATACCATTTAGTTCTGCAAAATTTCGTCGACAAAAAAACAAAAACAAAAAAAAAAACGTAAATATTGTTAATGCCTCGAGAAAACGAAATGTTTGAAAAAGAAAAAAATAGGCCCACCGCGGATCGGTGGGCCTATTTCGCCTAGCAACTTGACGTCGCAACACCAGCAACACGGGCCGCCCGCGTTCACACGCAGCAACCGAATTGCTCCAACTTTTCATCATCATAATTAAATTTGATTTTTCTTTCACTATTTAGACGCCCAGCTACGCGCTAAAAACGCGTTCTTATATCTTTAAACGGCGTTGAGAATACTAATTCATTTTTCTGAAACTGTTTATTTCCGAAAACGATCCATTTCAAACCAGAACTAAGTCTTTAGCTGTCATCATCACCACCACAGAGGTGTCACGTGCAGTTAATTGTCCAAAGTTCGAAAATCATTGTACCGCCCCTTTAAGGATAGGAATCCTAGAATTTTTTTTCCTTTTAGATAAAAATGTATGCATCCAACTCTTCTGGAGATTTAAGAGACTAGCTAGATACATTTATTGAAAGAGTAATTATTTGCCACTTTAGGAGACTCGGGCATCTAAAAATATAACTAAACTAACAATTTAGACAACCATGGTGCCATAGAGATGCCGGCTCGATTTAAATATTCGTTTTTTCTAACACAAACCAACTTGGTACTGTAATGAATATCCAACCCCTTGTTTTCTTATTTTTTCTGCACGGAACATACAGTAATTTTTTAATTCAAACTTGCAATTTGCGTTAAAATAAGGCAAGAACATTTCTTTGACTTCCAGGCATAATATCTTGCACTAAATCAGGACTTCAGGTCAGAGTCCCACTTATGTGCGGACGCCTAAATTAATGAAATTCTCGCAGGATTCACATTGTTTTCATCACTCCCGTAACTGTCCATCAAACTGTCGTCAGATTCCTGAATATTTAAAGGCAGGAGGATTTATCGTCACATGTGCCTGAGCCTTAATCCCTTTAAAAAAGGAAGGCTTTGTATCTCTTTGTCAGCTAAAGCGGACATCCGCACCAAAGCCATGTTGTATTAACGTGAACGCTCACAAGCGACTGATTCTTTTTTTTCTTGGCTCACTGGAGCTGTCAGACAGCAAAACAAACAAACAAACTATTAAAGGTAAATAGAGCAACTGGTGTGGTTTTGCCATTTACCAGGGAGCGTGCTAAAACAAGCGCTGAAACTGATTTGCGAGTCACAATTGTGGTCAGGCTTTATCGTCCATTAGGAGTAACATGAGTGATGCTCATTATTAGTAGTAATATTACCATATTGTCTGGGCTATAGTCTGTGGACTATACATGTTTAAAAGTTGGAATTTTAGGCTGTGCAGACTATCTACGCCTGCGGACTATACAGGAATTTTGTTTGTCTAGATTGTTCATTATACGAGACGTAACGGATTTTGTGAATTAAAAAATATGTATGATTTATGTATAATACAAGCTTCTTTGTGAGCTAAGAAAGCAGACATTTGTCAAGGTGTGCTGTGCATGAGAATATTTTTATGTCGACTAAGCACCGGTACGGACTATGCACGGCGTGGAGACTATGCAAAAAAATTTATTTTTGACCTTAAACTTGCCTTTGCAGACTAACACCGGGTGCAGATTATAGCCTGGAAAATATGGTATTTAACGTTCTTAAAGTAAAACGTGCGCTCACTTACATCAACTATTGGATGTTTGTGTGTTCGTGGGCAGACAGTTTTTGTGACAGTCTTGAACAAACACCATCTGAGGAACCCATAAACAAACTAAAAAATTGATGCAGCTTTGTTAATTCGACCAAACGTGATGAAAGCCGGCACCTTTACAGGGACATTGTTAGTGAAAACAATTAGGAAATCATACGGTGATGAAATGGTTGTAATACACTGTACACACATCGAGGACGACGTCAAGAACAGTGTCTAGGACAATTTCAAATACAATGTGAAAAACGACTGATCTCTCGGACGACCTCTAGGACGACAATGAGGAGGATGTCAAGGACGTCAGGTCATGTCAGCTTCAGCTACCGGCGCTTATGAGCTTACACGACCTTGGCTTAAGCGAACGAAGCTTGCGCAACCAGCGCTTACAGGGTAACGCGACCGGAGCTTCCGCATCACTACAGCCGCGGTGTTACGTGCCTTGATAACGCGTCCTTTAGCGTGGTTTGGGCTCTCTCTCTCTTTCTCTTTTCCTCCCCCCCTTCCTTGAACTTGAGCACTTCTAAATTTTGGAGGGCTATGAGCTCAATCGCTGGTGATGTGAGAACTATCGAGGGGCACTAGTCATGATCCCAGGCACTGTACTCTTGAAACCATAACAGAGTTGCTGTATACAATAACTTTCTTAATGAATAGGCTACAAGTATTTTTCTAACATAAAGTTTTGTTGCAGTGGAGGGGCGTGCTTTTTTGTCGTGATGTTCCCCCACTTCGAGGACAGTCTGGCGGTTGTCCCGAGGTGCTGGATGCTTGAGGGAAAGCTGGCCTGTTGTTGGCCAAAAGGCCGGCATCATAATTTTAAAAGACTTGTACGCAAAGGAGTGGAGCCGGATGAAAACTGGTACATCCATGGAGTTGTGGTGCTAAAGGAGTGCTGTAAGTAATTTTTTCATTTTTTTCTTTTGAAGTACATTGGCTTATGCTGCCTCTAGACACTTCTGAATATGTGAATGCAGTGATCCCCTGTTACTATGACCAGCTTCATGTTTGCGAGAAGTCTTCATGATAGAGTGAGCGAGGGTTGTCAACATGAGTCAAGCGTGCAAGCATCTTATTCCAAATATGAATTGGGGAGGGGTGACCAAGTTACCCGACATATACATTGAATGCCGTAAAAGAGAAGAACTATGTGGTTGCTTTTATTGGGCACAAAACGTAAAGACTCAATTAAGTATTGTCCAAGGTTGTTATGTTGTGCAGACAGCCGACTTGCATGTGTTGCTCTTTATGTAATTTCACCAAGTATGTATGTTTATATACATAAATGTCTATACATACATACAAGTATGTATGTATATCCATTGGCAATTAGAAGGCATCACATACATATGGGTATGGCCCTGCAGACTTATGTAATGACCTAACTCGCAGAGTTAAATAAGATATACTAATACCAAGTAACTGGACTTAACCATGTATATGAACAATATAATTACAAGGAAAATTGCTTTTTAACAAAGCCAAATATCTTGTGCATTTGCACTTCCATGCATTAATATTTTGCAATTAGGTTAAAACCAACTAAAATAAATCGGAAGCATAATGCGATTGTGCGAACCTTCCGCACATGTGTCGCTCACCTTTCGGCTGCAATAAACCAAACCTAGCTGACTCAGCTCGACTCGTTCATCGGTATCCGAATCTGCATTTTAAACGGTTCGGGATGTTTAGATTTTCACAGGAGTGCTGCCATGCCTTTCAATATTAAAATGTATTGTCACTGACAGGACAAACAAAAGGGAGGTCCTTCAGTACGTGGTCCCAGATCCAGTGACAGTCGCCTCCCTTCGATAACTCTTTCGCATCTTGTGAGCTTTCAGCGTTTGCGTGCAGCCAATGCGCAATGGAAGGCGATAAACACATGCCGGAGCTTGTTTTGTGATTTACTATCAAACATATTACTGAACTTGGACAAAAGTTCCAGCTGGCTATATGGAGACATACCAGTATCATCTCGCATGGAGTATATGTGGCGAAGATTTTCAACTTGTAGGTACAATGCTAGGTCTGAGCTGTTGCTGCTTTTAGCATGTCTCTAAGTTACATTTCAAAATTTTACAAGTTGGGTACCTGGATCAGTTTTTTTTTTTAGTTATATGCTAACTCCTTATCCATTTTTTTATTTTTCGCAATTCTTAAGCTATTCTTTTTTTTATTTATTGTATGTGGTGGAGAAAGGTGCGGTACAAGCCACACGTGTCTCCACCACAAATCACTATGTTTAAAAATGTGTAAAAAAAAATGTGTTGCCATATTTTGGCAGCGCTGCAAACTAAGCTCTCGACATGCCTGGGTTGTCCAAAACAGTCAAGGGGCGAGCGAGAGTTTGCGGTAAAGCTATATTCATCCTGTACGGTTCGGAGACAGCTCTAGGTGGACAAGCTAAGCTTGTCCTAAATGATTAAGGGGTTAAATACCTGATGTTGGTAAAACTTTTTAATGTGTCCTTTTGTTGGGCATGCTGACCTTCATTGATTTTAGACACAAACCGCCAAGAATTTCTGATCCAATTTGTTTTTTATCAAATGTCTGACAATAATCTTATATAAGCCATGTATTGCTTTATTTTGAAGGTAAAAGTCATCATGAAGGGCTATATGGAAAAAAAAGACTGGCGTTAATATTTTCTTTTTTCTTGAAAGCAACATATGACAAGGCCCTGAGGGTGCTGAAAAGGGCAGAAGAAGACCAGGCACTGGACACCACGGATGGTGGAGTGGAGCGTGGATCACCAGGTAATATGGCTCACATTGGTAATAACAATTAAAATGGCAAGAGCACTAGAGTGGTGAACCCCAGTCATGTCACCTAATTTCCAATGTCAATTTTCGTAGGTGACCGTCACTTCCACAGGCGGCCACTTTCCACCCAACAGGCGACGTCGCTGCCTGCACCACGTAAATAATTTTACAAATTGCTTGAATAATTAAATACATAAATGATTTTACAAATGCTAGCACTGCCAGTGTGTGCCAAAAAAAAAATTATGTGAACCGTCTGTGCACCCAGCCATCTTCACTCAAGAATGCTAAGAAAATGAAAAAAGAAGCATTTTGTTTGTTCAAAGAATGGACAGTGTACTGTATAATAACTGCTTTAAACATCTAAGACATGCATGATAAACACTTTCATGTGTTAAGCTTCTTACACTCAAAAAATCTTAATTTTTAATAAAAAAAAAACATATTACTGAGCAGACGACATATGGTACGCAGCAAACACTGTTGTGTTTTGCTGCACTGAAGGTTTCTAAAAAAATGTGCAAGACGACTGTTCACATGAATAGCTACAATTAATACAGCACACTTTTTTCTTGAGGTATTATTGTTCTACAAACTAGTTATGAAAGATAAATCATTTAAATTTTCTGTCGAAGCCCACTTTCTTTAGACGATGAAGCAGCACAGATCTCCAGGTTTCGGTGCTCCCTTTCTCATGTCATGAAAGGGCATGCACCGATTTACGAAATGATTCATTAGTGCAGCACATTATTTTCTTTGTTCCACAGCATAATGTGTTCCTTGTATCATGAATACTCATCTGAGGGTTACTGAACAAGATGGCTAAAATTCCTAGGGTGTCTTATTATTTCGGTGTTCTTGTTACCAATCACTCAAAGTCCCGCTCATGCTTGTCATTCTTAGATTAATCATTATATTTGGGTATTACGTCGGGGAACATTAACAGGTCCCTCGGGGCCTTACAATCTGTTCACGTCCAGGGCCTGCATAACTTTAACAAAACATAGACTTGGTAAAAGAGGAAGAAGAGGTCGAAGCTCTTACTGTTCCATTCCATTTAGTCACCCCCTGAAGAAGGAGTCAAGTAGACCTCGAAACTGTGGCAACTGTTAGTTTCTGAGCTTTTGGTTTGAGATTTTTTTTTTTTTATTATTTTTTTAAACCAGACAGATTTCTGTCAAAGATGTTTACTTTCACTACTTTTGTGATGTTACGCCCTGGCAAGGAGGGCCTTCAGTGGCCTGCGTGCCCCAAATAAAAAAAATAATTTAGATATTCGAGATCTTGGAGGTCAAATGAAAATTATATAAGTGGGTTTTCTCAAATACAAAACCGCCTCAGCTTCCCTTTAATGTATTTACCAGGTGTTACCACGTGTGTTGTCTTGCCATACATGCAGCCGATATACGCTTCCATCATTCGGATCTTAGTGCAATATTTGGTGGCACTTTAAGGCTTAAGTGGCCGAATTGACATGCTTTGCAAAAACTAACCTTTTTTTAGAGGTACCTGACTCGTCTAACATCTTTTGGAACTTTCAGTAACCAGTCCCAAAGTCTAGAACCCTATAGCCTTCATGTTTTCTGAATTACAGGGCATAGTTCAATGTTGCAATCATTGCCCTCGCGCAATGATTTTGCTGAGAGTAAAGCAAAGGTGTCAACCCTATGTATCAACAAGGGTGGTGCAGAAACTATTACCACAGTGTTACCTTAAAAACTTCTGTTGGTGGCACAGTCTTATCAGTGTTTCCTTGGAGGTCGCCGTTTCCAGTCGTTGCTGTGCAGGTTTGAATGTGTTAAATTAATTTGTGACTGAGATGCGAGAAACAATGGCTGCTTCACTTATGATTTGCATGAGTGGGATAGGTCCATTGTTTTTGTGGTCTGTGGGTGTGCTTAGTGTCAAGTATTTTGTCACAAAGAAGTGTGTTTGAAATGATTCAGAAGTTCAAGGACAACCATGCAAGTGTCAGCTATAATGAAGCAGCCAGATACCTGTCCGTGTCCATGACTAATGACGACGTTAAGGCTCGCGCTGCGGAAACCAGGATCCTGGGTTCAATCCCCACTGCTGCCCGTTTCGATCTGGATGAGCATCGTACCGGCGTGCGGTCGTGTATCACTACTGCGTGGTGCACGTTAAAGACCCCAGGCTAGCGGTTCTACTGCACTGGCTAAATGTCTTATCTACAGCTGGGAGGTTCGTCGCACATTGAGGCAGACTAAGTTCTAGACTGTATAAACATACACACAACCCAATTTTCGATGACATTAAGCATATGCGTGAACTGATTTTGTTGAATAGATGATAGTGGATGATGACAAATAATTTGCAAATCAGTCAAAGCTTCAGCTATTTAATACTACATGACAGGCTTGGGTCTGGAGAATTGTTTGATTAAGGTAAGTTCTACATTTAGGGTGCTGTAGAGTTTATTTTTAAATCACTATCATAACTTACCTCAGGAATTAACCTATTTACGAGTGATAAATTTAAATTCGAGAACACTTTAGGCTGCCAGGGAAAATGCTAGCATGACTTAAGAACTGCTGAAAATCCCACTGCCCACAAAGCGGCAACTTCTTGCTCTAGTCAACTGAGCGAAACGTTTAGAAAACCGGGAAATTGGCAGCACTGCACATGGGCTGATATACCTTAATGTATATGTATGATTAGCTTTCCCCCATTTGTTTGGTGCACTTCTTGAGTGAGTTGACATTAACGATAACCTACCAAGTTGCAATTTTGTGATGCATACTATCCTTTATCATCTACAGCTGACAAACAAATTTTTGATATTACCAATGAAAATAAAAAGATGCGAGCGAGGGACTATTGTCGTTAAAATTTCTGTCATTTGTACCAGTTCAATTTTAAACCACTACTTTCAGCTCCTGGTCTTGCCTGTGGGGTATTTGGCCCAAGAGGTAAGATATTTGCTAGTTTAAACAGTATGAATTACTATGCGAAGCTTTCAATTGGGATTATTTTGTTACGGTATATTTACAATCCCAATGGCCTGTAGATGGCGGGGTGGTAGTTCTAAGACAACGGGAGAGATGGGGTTCGATATTGCAGGATTTTCCATGCACCTGCTCGCTGATGCAGGTCAGCATGCTTAAAGTAATTTATTCGGCTACAAACGCAAAGCGGTCAGAGCAGGAGCATATCGCAGGTGACGGAGCTGTTGATATATATTAGGAAAACAAGCAGGTTAATTTTTAAAAGTTGCAGAGACCTCACACAACTTTTGAAGCTTTGTGGAGTACGAGCGCATTTAAAAAGACTGACCCTGTCGTTGTGTGTGGCAAGAAAATGTGAGGGTGATCAAGATATCGTTGTGTTTGCATCGTGCCTGGCCACCAGTATTCTAAAGGTGACCTCCGCATAGTGACTGTTAAGCTGTGGACAAGCCGCGTTTACAGTTAGTACTTATGTCTTTGTGTCAGAGGGTCACAACTCACTGCATATTAGTTTTAATGCATGGGAATACTTGATCAACCTCCACCATAGTTACTAATGGTCTGTGTTGGCATTGTCCTGTCTTTTGCAACCTTGCAGTTTGTGAGGTTTCTGCTAGCTGATTATGGCTTAATAGGAGTTTAGGATTGCATTCAAATTTACAAGTAACTAAACTCTGAAAACATTATGGCACAAAAGCATAAATTTTCTACCCACATCTTATCAGAAGTTATAAGAAAATATTGTTGCCAATCAGATGTATTTATGTTTTGTTTCATTAGTGAACATTAGAGCATTCAATAATTAAACTAAAGCAATTGGTCACTGCTACGACATTCCAACCAGCACGAGGCTGGCAAAATTTTCCTAGAAGTTATGTGAGAAAGCACCAAATAAAGAGGAGTCGCATGCACTCAGGCCTTCAACGCCACTTGTGTAGTGGAAATGTCAATGAAATCACAAACTTGGACGATACCAGATTGTGGTAGTCCTTGTTCTTTTAAGAGTAAACTGCAAAAAAGGCCACTGTTGTGCATTAACAAATGTTCTGTCAGAGAAAACTATAAGAATGAGCAGCTGTGTCATGTTCATATTAATTTTATTGCTCAGTGTACATTCCTTATTGTGTATATTTTAGCAGGTAACAATGTATATTTTCCTGCAATTCAGCTTCATCGCCAGTTGCCACTGACGCCGCAAGGTCAAGCTTGGTTTTTGACCACCAACTGCCTGCAACGACTTCTATGATCACAGGTTGTTTAGCTGATTTGAAAGTTCCAAATTGATTGCTAATACTGGACTCATACAAACAAGCAAATAATGCAAAGTTCTTTTGATAAAGGAGTAGGCTAGGTGTTATTGTGATAGATATATACAAAGTGTTTTTTATTAGGACCAGGATTTTAAAAAAAAGAAAGAACTTGCAGGTTTTCTTTAGTCCTGGGGGCAAGTTGGTGCCTATAGACCTTTCCAGCGGCAGTCTCGAACGAAGCGATTTCCAGCGCGCGTCCCTGGTTTTGAGATTGTACATCAGTGTTGCCCGACTGCGCTGAGCTGTGGGTTTTCTCGTCAATAAGCTGTGGAAGCCTGCGTAGGAGCAATTTTGAACGCTGGTAACAGAAAAATCGCCTCGCTTTATTTTTTTTTTTTGGTGTTCTATGGCGAAGAGAATTTCTCGAAGTTTTTAAGAGAGCATTGAACTATTTTTGGGAACAGAAACAAACAAATGAAAGCTATTTTCGGTGAGTCCGTGCGCGATAGAACAAATGCTACTGGAATGTTTGTTTCATTTTATGCGTATATTTTTACGGCACCATACACTCAGCCGTGTCAAACTACAAAGATCTTAACTGCCTAACATATTTGACCACACCAGAGGATAACCGAACTGCATGGATATTGCCTGCTCACTATATGAAATTCAACGAATCTCATCAATCGAACAACATATATTGTACGTACCCCACGGTGCCGAGTTATCCGAACAGGATTTGAGAAAGGTCTCAAGTAACACAGCATATCCAATATACAGTGTCGACTACAGTCACTTCACGACGATTGGACGGAATCCGGCTTGTCTTGGGGTACGTTTTGAAGACTGATGTTTTTTTACACAGCACTAAAGCAAATAAACGAACGTGTCTATTCCTTCCACACACCTAGGTCCCGACCCTATCAGCTATTTTTCGCGAAGACCCGGAACATAGCCGGAAAGGCTTTTCGGAGATTATCTCAACAGAAATAGTCCTCGAAGAACGTCGAACGGCCCGCGTCGCGGGCTGCTTGACGTTCGCTCTCTTCGTTCGTTTCCTGCGAAGGTCGAGTAGGCTACGAGCTCTGGTATTCCCTGGTTCTCACAGTGGAAGATTACAAAAACACGCAAGCATCCTGAACAGGCAAATAGAGTAAACACTTTCAAGGAAAGCCGGCGAACTTCAAACACGCAATGCAGGTGGGGAGTCGCGCTAACCGGGTTTCCACAGCGCGGGGGGGTGGCAGAAATTTTTGGCTGATAGGGGTCGCTTGAGTCGCAAAATGGCGGCGGCCAGCGAGTTGTTTTTGCAAAGGTCTATAGCAGCAACTAGAAAAGAGGCTCAATTGATTCATTAGTTACCTAACTAGCTAAGATTTAATTTTCTATCTAAATCTTAACCAACTTTTTGGGACAAAATGTAATTGGAGAATCTATGCTCGACCTCATTATGTAGCTGTGACATGAAATTTTGATTAAATAATTAGTGGGTACTACGCGGCAAGAAATGTCATCTTAGTACATGGATTCAAACAAAAATTGAGCCAGCAGAACATGCCCATGACGTCGATCCCTGTGCTTTGTGCCATCATCGCACTGCCTTTCGTCACCTGCGGCATGAACTTTTGGGTTGTGGAGCCAGTACAGAGCGAAGAAATCACCATCACCATTGCTCTTTGCCTGCTCAGTTTCAGTTACGAGGTGTGTACAAGGATTGACATTTCACATCATGGTTGGTTAAGACCAGAGTTACGCAAACTTTGTAGACCCGCGACCTCTAAAATAACGCCGTCCGATTACCTACCCTACCCTACCCCCCCCCCCCCCCCCCCCCCGTCCCCTTCCCCGCTTTAGAGCAGTATCAAAGCAATCAACAGCTCAGCTTTCTGAGGCCTCCCCCCCAGACGTCACCTCTCAACCCCGGCTTTTTGTGCCGCTGGGTTAAACTAGAATGAAGTTGAGTGTCAATGTCCAACTTCGTTATGACGGAAGATATTATTTAAACTTCAAAAAGTTTGCAGAAACCTTTTAGTCAGCTAGCTAATTATTCCGTTTCATCTCTTTTCTAGTTGTCCCCATAGCTCCAGCCAAGCCCTGTAAACGTTGCAGCCCACCAGCAGGAAATTTCTAAAAATCTAGTTTATCAAAGTAATAAAAAAATATCTTTGCTAATCAGAAGTATTCATGTTTTGTTTCATCAGTGAACATTAGAGCATTTAATAATTAAACTAAAGCAATCAGTCACTGCTACGTGATTCCCACCAATACGAGGCTGGCAAGAATTTTGAAGAAGTGCTGTAAGATAGTATGGAATAAAGAGAAGTCAAATGCACTCGGGCCTTAACACAACTTGTGTGGTGGGAATGTTATTGGAAGCACCAATTTGGACGATATCAGATTGGGTTTGTCCTTGTTGTTTGAGGAGCAAACTGAAAAAAGTGCCACTGTCATGCATCAGCAAATGTTCTGTTAGGGCAGGGGTTCTCAAACTGGGTTCTGGGGAACACTGGTTTCACGAGCTGGTCTCATGGGTTCAGCGAACACCCAAATTGCCATCCCCCCCTCCCCCCAATCCCCCCTCCCCCGCTGCAGGCTGCACGGCAGGACCATGCAAAGCGCCTTCATCTCACTTTGTACTGACATCGCAATTGATATGGTGGGGATATATGGGAAGCAACACAAGCAGAATTGCCAACAATTGTGCATCTGTTGCTTCTCGGTCGGCAAATATAGAGGAGGGAGGGGAGCAGTGTTCCGTGGCAGTTTTTGAGGCTTCCTGGGGTTCCGTGAGACCAAAAAGTTTGAGAACCCCTGTGTGAGGGAAACGTTTCAAAAGAGGCCCAATTTGTTTGATTTGCACACCAGTTGCAAACTATAAACTAACGCGGAAAGCACCCACTTCGTTCAAGCACCCATTATTAACACTTTCCAAACTTGGAAATTCTGCAATTTGTACGTTCAGCGCCCGATTTGACCATTGACAAGTGCCATTGTCTAGATTAACCCAGTTTTCAGTGAAAGTGAGGTGGGCACTCCACTGGTATTTTATGGTAGCTGTGTTTGGAGATTTGTGTTTGTCCTCCTTGTTCTTCTTCTCCGGGGATTATTAGTGTTATTCTTGTCCACCTGGCTTGCTCCTTTACATTAATTGCATTATCACCTTTGTCATGTTCATATTAACTGTATTGCTCATTGTACATTCCTTATCCTGTATAATATACCAGGTAACAATATATATTTGTCTGCATTTCAGCTCCACCTACCAATGATGCGGGAAGGCCGGCAAGCTGCGCTTCAGACTGCCAACCACCCCCTCCAGCAACAGTTCCTGCACTCACAGGTTGTTTAGCCAATTCTGAACTTCCAAATTAGTTCCTAATGCTGCAATCATACAAGCAGGCCAATAATGCTCATTTATTATGTTAAAGAAGTCCAGGTGTTTTGGTGTCATGACATTTACAGAATCGGTTCTATAGCAGAACCAGAATTGTTTTTAAACAAGAAATCTGATGTACAGTGTAAACCGCATATAGCGTATGTCGCAAGAGTCGCGAAAATCTGCACTATAAGCGGTACCGCGCTATAACCAAAACATCAATTTTTCAGGCCAAAATACATGCCATCAGACAACTTACCTTTGTAAAACAATTTATTTTATGTTAGATAAAAAATAAAGCTTAGTTTGAGGAAAGTCTTTATTTCACCATACTTCTCTCTCAAGTGTGTCACACATTTTGAAAGAAATGAGCGACTTTCGCCTGGCACAGCCTTTTAACGGCGTCGCGGGTTGCGGACGGACGTTGCTAACGTCAGAATTGCTAACCCTAATCACTTTTCTCCGGCGATGAAAATACGTGAAAATTCGCATCCTTTATACGGTACGCGCCAGTAATACCTTCAACTTGAGCACAGGCACGAAATGCTCCAAATAAGAAATCCGGGTGATGTTTGAAAACACAAATGCTTAGAAAGGACCACTGTAGTCGAAGTAACAAACACGACAACACGGGCGTTTCTGCCGTTTTGAGAGTGCCGCCACAACATCGCCGCACGAGTAGGTGGATCTTCCCTTCTAGTACGTGCTAGGTTATCATAGCGACACACAACGAAAATTCACTGTCAAGGATAGCGCTTTTACGCGGAACGATGAGCGACGATCACAACCGACGCCATGTTTGCGGATAGAAGCAGCCGGCCCGTGACCGGCATGCAATGCGCGCGAACACTTCTCCTCGACCTGCGATTGGTCTGTCGTTGCGGTTGTTTCCAATGCAGCGGAGGGACGCACGCACGTTTACGACACGTCCATGCCTCCCTCAGTTGCTATGGCAACTGAAGCCTCCCTCTTCGCTTCTCCCCGCTTCTTCGAGCAACCTCCTTGCCCCGCCGAGTGCAGCTCGTGGCTAGCGCCGTTATCTAGTGTCGCGCAGAGAAGCGTGCGGTCAGCAGGCTGTTCCAGAAACTGCACTATAACCGGTATTTCCCTTCGCGCGCCTGCATTTTAGGCGGTGTGTAATTACGTGAAGTTCTATGGGAGGCGAACCGGTGGTTTAAAAAAGCCACGTTATACCCGGTCCTGCACTATAAGCGGTTACGTTGTAAGCGGTCTATACTGTATTCATTTTCACCCAAGAGCAATAGTAAGAAAAGTTGGGCTTCTTATATTATGTAGTGGTGTCATGAAGTTTCTGTTGCCCTTTCCCTCCTGCCAAGTAAAGTCCTCTGCAACCCATGGATGTGCTTATTAATGTCGTGGATGGCCTTTTCCACAAGAAAATTGTTGCACTTCTACGAAGTTTTTCAGCATGCATATACTTTGTATCTGAGCCGTAGATGCCTAGTTCAATTATGGCTTTGGTTGTATGTAACCTGAACTATCCAGTTCCTGTATTATTTACTCCGGCGCTCGAGAAGTACAATGCAGTGTCATTCCTTCCTTGTACATTTTTAAATATTTCTCTTTTTTGTATCAGGCTTTGAGTCACAGGTACTAAAGCTGCTCTTGGAGCAGCGCCAGCAGCTCCGTGAGCTGTCGCAACAGAACACAGCCCTCAAGGAAACCCAGGAGGAGCTGTGCCTGCGGCTGGCCCAGCTGGAGGGCCAACTTCCGAGGAGGACTGAGCCAGCTGGAGAGGCAATTCAGCTGCCTCTGTTCTCCCTGGAGGATTTCCAGGCCGCGGAGGAGGTCCTCCAAGATGGTGCCTCAAGAAAAGCTTTGGTATGGTGCATGGGATGTGTTGTATCGTGCAGTAAGACATGAAATTTTAACTTGCTCCGTGATGCTTGTTGTGTGCACCAGCGTGAACATTCCTTTTCAAGTTATTCTTTTAGTGGAGGTATTGTATGCTTTATAGTGTATGCCTGTGCATTCCTAAACCACACGAAACATGAAAAATGTTGATTGTGGTATAAAACTCCTCTACTTCCACCCTTTCCCAGATTAAGGGAGTCTGTCAAATCATGGCAAATGATCTGGCAAAAGGGGACTAACAACCATGTTTGCCCTATTTCCACAAAGTATTTCTGAGAAGAGCAAATAGTTTCTGCGCACTGCATAATGAACTACATTCTAGAGTTTCCAGACTATCCAGCATAATGCTGGCAGTTGGAATAAGATGAAATTAGCTTGGAAGATTGTATGTTAGCAGTTTCAAGAGTATAACACATTATAAAATGTCAAAGTGAGAAGGTGGAGGCCGCTGGAGTTCATGGGTAAATGGAGATGCAGCCATGAACTCCAGCGGCGAGGCCGTTGTCTGCGCTCGCGCGACGAGGCACGCACAACTGCATGCCTGTCGTAGTTGTCCTCACGTGCATGCGAACATGATTGCATGACAGAGGCACCAGCCGAGACACTTGCAATCCATTGTTTTACGTTTGCTTACTTTTGACGAAAATCTGTCTCGTCGGGAACCAGTAAAACGCAGGCAAACGGTTTTTCGGAATTGCTCGGCATTGCCTACAGCACTGTACACTTGTGGGATGTCTCAGCAGTAAGAACACAAGCAGCGAGTTCCGTCTCAAAACGTCACATCACAACACAACATAACACAAAATGGCCTTCGTTTCTACAGCACCTAAAACAAATAATTTTATTTTTCTAAGAATATCTTCTCCAAAAGCCACTTTTGCTGCTCCGAAACACTATCTTCGCTGTTCCAGAAGCCACTTTTGGTACTCCAAAACACTGTTTGGGTTGCTCCAAAGGCCACATTTGTTGCTGTAAAACACTGTTTTGGCTGCTCCAAAAGGTGCTCCAAAATGGCTTAGGCCAATCACATCACTGGCTCACATATAATGTGAGTGTTCATAAAACACCTTTAGTGTACTAGCTCAGGATAATTAACGTGCTCAAATTCAGTGTGAAAAACAAAACATAATCTATCTGTATACCGTAATCACTCAAATGTAACGCAACCATGATTGTAACGCAAAGGATGACTTCACAGCGCAAAAAAATAAAAGAACACAAATGTAACGCGAGTAAAATGAGGGGAAAAAAGTGATTTATTTGTTGCACATAGTGGCCAACACCTGCCAGTTTCTAAAAATAAAATGAGTTTGCTCACTCATCCCTTTTGCCATTGGTAATCAAGTGTTCCCCCTGAGACAATGAGGTCCGCAGAAGCCTTTTCGGCTGGGCTCACACTTGAAGAGCGCTTCATGCTGGAGCCTGCACCCACAGATAGTCGACTTTTGTCACATCTAGCCGCCGAGCCGCGGCAGAGTTTCCGATTTCCTCAGCCATCAAAATTTCACTTCTTTTAAAGTGAATGTCGTACTGAGCTCGTCGCGTTGCCATTTCCTCGGGTCCAGTTGCGGAAGCACGAAGCAGCAGCCCGCGAAACACGGGCACATGGGTAAGGTAACCCTAACATGGGCGCAACGAGTCGCAAACAAGAATAGACTTGGATTGGCGGTTGGTTGCCAGCGTGTATATGTTGCCAGCACAAGAGTGAAAGATTGCGAGATTTTTCGTAGCTATTTTAAAGAGCCTGTGCTGCGACACTGCCAAGGCGAATTTTGAAGCATTTCGATTATAACGCGAACCCCCAAATTAGGTGAGGGAAATTTTGAAAAAAAAACTTGCGTTACATTCGAGTGAATACGGTATTTGTCTAGGACTCTGTTAGCAAGATTTTACATTACGCTACTGCTATACTGTGCACGTGAAGCTCCCTAAACTGATATAGAAAATATAGCACTCATGACTAATTTTGTGTTTTGTTCGTATTGCAGAGAGCTCGGTTTGTTCTAATGGGTGGAACAAGTGTGAAGGATGCGGTTCGCTGCATCATGGAGCGAACCCTGAAGAAAGAAGTTCAGGCACATTTTACTTTCGTGGGGCGGCAGGGGAAGCAGCCATTTAAAGGAACGAAGCTGTTTTCCGTCATCAAGGGTATGACTTCTGTCATTTACAGCTTTATTTATTGAACATGGATATCTAGTAATTTTTTAAATACCCAATGAACTTGATGTTTCGACACAAAGCAAACATTTAGAAGAAGCTTCTACTTGAAAACATGCAGAGTGTGCCCCATTTTTTCATGTAAAAAAATGCTTTTATTTTGCACCATACTGGTCTCGGGGATGTATTTGGATGATGATGATGGTTTGGGGTTTTATGGCGCAAGAGCAACTTAGGCCATATTGTGCCAAGGATGTATTTGGATCTGTAATTGCTTAATCTTTAGCTTCAGCTTGAGTACTCAAGGTCCGTAGGCATAGAGTTGGATATTTTGTTTATTTCTTTGCTGATCTAGTATTTTTTTATTTACAAACAACACTGATCTTATCTGCGGGGTCGTGGCAAGGCTAAGTATTACAAGTCAAAGCATCAAAATATGAGTTACCCATTTAGAGCACAAAATTTAAACAAATGCACTTACAGAATAGTGGTTAATACTGTCATAAGAAATTCCATTGAATTTTATAATTGTTTGAGGAAAAACTAAGAACTAAGGTCTGCAGAAGTTATTGTAAAAATTATGTATCTAAATCTGTTGCTCACAGTGCTTTGTGTATTTCTTTCTTGAGTGTGTTTACGTTGTGTCTGATAATATAACCATAAAGTATGCTGGTAATGTTACGTTTTACACCATGTTCTGGGTAACTATTTTATGTTCACTTATGTTGCTCACCCCTATTACGGTCCCCATTGTAAGGACTAATACTATTGTCAAATAAAATAAATAATAAGAATTAAAAAAATCAATTAGTAGAGTAAAATGGTAAGTTATCTTAATTGCTTGGCATAACAAATAAAAAAAAGTTACAGTATCAACAGTGTTACTTTTTATACTTCTTATTAATTGATCGAAATTGGTAAAAGAACAAGGAGTGGGTTGGTAAAGGTAGGAAAGCATGTCTCTCTATGGGCTTTGTGGGGATTCCTGTGGTCTCCTTTCCTTGATGGCTGTGATACTGGCCGCAGGTTGGAACGCTCGGCCTCTTTCGCCGTGAGCCCTGGCCTGCTCGTGAAGCGGAAGGTCCTTGGTCTTGGTGGACGCTCCTCTCACTCCCCCGGGTGGACCTCTTCCTGGCCCCACGCTCGAATGCGGCTCACGAAAGACAAGCGAGGTTTCGCCTCCTTTTTCCGCTTTCGAAAACGGGGACTTGCCCAGTGTTCGCAAAAGAAATAGGACATGTCTCAGCTCCTTCTTTGATGCTTCTTAGATCTTGGTTCTCTAGAACCCCGCGTATGGCAGGTAAGGACCTTTTCTTATTTTGCCGGCGTGGGAAGCATTCCAGGTGGGGACATAGTAGATCGTATAGGAGAGTGTTTTCATAAATTCTCTTGGACACTGTCCTTACTCTGGTATGAGTGTCTTCTTTTCCGCTATATTCAAGAGAGTGAGACAAAATAGTCAATCATAGGCACCGACGGCAGAAATAACTTATCAAACCGACCCAATGTAACGTGGCCTTAAATGTTGTCTACATTGCCGCAGAGGTGTGGGACTGTGCTACTAGGTTGACATCTCCATTGAGATCGCCACCACTGTTAAGATAACCCTTTGGTTATCTCGAGCAGAAGTACCGATAGAGTAACCAGAGGGCCGTTTCAACAGCGGCGGCAATCTCGAAGGAGACACCAAGCTTAGTAGCACGGTCCCACATCATTGCTGAGGATTGGTTCAATAAATTTCTTCTGTCTGTGCTAATGATCGAATCTTTGTTTGATTGTCGAATATAGCGGACACACAAACCAGAGTAAGGATGGAGTCCAAGAGTATTTGTTAGAATACTCTCCTGTACAAACTACTATGTTCCCATCCAAAATGCCCCCCCCCCCCCCCCCCCTTGCCTGCAATGTAAGAAAAGGTCCTTACCTGAGATGCAGGGTTCCGGAGAGCCAACATTGGGGAAGCATCTGAGAAGTCACCGACATATCCTTCTATTTCGCGGTCACCGGACGAGTCACCTTCGTGAAAGTGGGAAAAGAGGAGGCAAAACCTCCTTGCCTGTCAGCAGTGGTTTGCATCTGAGCGGGGGAAAGGAAAGGGGAACCACCGGGAGAGAGTGAGGGGAGGGCCCTCCAAGACAGGGGACCCTCTGTTTCACGAACGAGTTGGGAGGTCATGGTGAAGAAGGTCGAGCATTCCGACCCGCGGCTATTATCAGAGCCATCGGGGAAGAGAGATCACAGGAATACCCACAGCTTTTACTCCATATCATTTTTGTTCATGTACATTTTTTATGATACAAATGCAAGCCCTTTGGTAAGCTCAGAAACAAATCTAATATTTTATGTGTTAAAATGCACTCAATAGCTTTTGTTTATAGATGGCTAATCTTGTGTTTAACTAAAAATTGTGTAAAAAAATGGGTAAAAATGCACAATTAATTTTTTTACTAGCACAAACATTTATGAGGCATTCATATAGCAAAGCAAATTGCAGTGCACAAAAGCAAGCAAAAGCATTGCAGTACAGTGTGTATGAGCATCTTTTGTTTTGCTGTAATCCTCGTGATTGCACGTCCTTGGACGAAGCGTGTCTATAATTGTCTGAATATAGCTGTCACAGATAGAAAATAATAGCACAAACATATTTTGTACGAAACCATCTTCCAGTTATTCAAGCACATTATTACATCATTTTGTCAGATAACATACAGCATATTTTGTTAATGGGATGGCGTAATGGTGGAGACAACAATTTTAGTCTAACTTGTGTATTACTGTGTTTTGTATTTGGTGTTCTAGCTGCTGTCCAAAAAAAAACGAAGGCGGCTGACACGGAGGTAGAGGCGGCCATCCGGGTGTACCTCTACGGTGTGAAGGACCGGGAGGGCGGGCGGCGTTCCCGCTTTTTGGAAGCTGTAGATGCTGCAGCTTCGAGGAGGATTGCAGCATTGAGCGAGGCTCCAGCTTCGAACAACGCTGTAGCCTCGGGCGAAGCTGCAGCCTCGTTCGATGTTGTGGACCTCTTCGAGGTTGCCGCATCCGGTGGCTGGAGCGACGAAGATTTCTAAGAATAAAACCCGTGACCACAGTCTTTCGTTTTTGCCCTTTTTTAGCACCACTGGTGGAGGTGTTCTTATTTCAATGGGTTTTAACTAGTGGTGATGTATCGTTTAATGCAGGAATAAAAGCTATACTCCTTCTAACTTTACAATGATCTGCAGTGGATGCTGTGAGCTATCCCAGGCAGACCAGCATGGTGAAGTTATTGCATGATTATGCCCCCCTCCCCCCCACACCCATGTCAATGCAGTCCATCAACTTCACATTATTGTAAGGTGAAACAGTCTATATGTAATAACAATCCAATTGATGCAGCCAAAATTGTTAAATTGGCATAAATTGGTAGTTTTAAGTAATTTTCAGAGATGCCTACTTTACCAACTTTGGCTTGGGTCTAGTATTCCAAAAATCATATTTTGGTATGGTGTGTGGGTGCTATTTCAGGTTTATGTGGCAGAAGTCTGGCATTTTCAGCAATCTTGCCTTGGCTCATCCATGTCACTTTTTTATGCACTCCAGTGGCTAAACAGAGAAAAACAAAACTTTGGCATGCCTCTGGGCTTTCTGTGGCATTTTTGGCACATGTTAGACAATCCAGTGGGGAGCCAGAGAGGAGCTAACTCTTATGCTCCTGAACCCCCAAATTAGGATTGACTGGCAGCTTTGGCTCAGGTATGGCTCTTTTGGCACTCCTGGGGCAAACCGTAGAAATACCAAACTTTGGCATGCCTCTGGGCTTGCTTTGGCACTTTATGGCGGACCAGAGAGAAGCCTACTTTTTGTCCCCGAATTCCCAAATTGGGATTTATAATGGCTCAAGTATGGCACCAACTTTGGTGTTCTTCTGCCGGACCAGCAATGCTAAACTTTGATATGCCCCGAATTCCCAAATTAAAATTTACTATGGCAATTGTGGATAAAGTATGGCACCAACTTTTGCGCTCCTCTGCCGGACCAGAGCAATGCCAAACTTTTGTATGCCCCGAATTCCCAAATTAGAATTTACTATGGTAGTTATGGCTGAAGTATGGCACCAACTTTTGCGCTCCTTTGGCGAACCAGAGCAACACCGAACTTTGGCATGTCCGAAATACCCAAAATGGGCGTTGCTCTGGCAGTTCTGGCCTAAGTATAGCACTACTTCGGCACTCCTGTGGCGAACCAGAGAAACGCCAAACTTTGGCGTGTCTGAAATACCCAAATTAGGAGTTGCTCTGGCAGCTATGGCTCAAGTATTGGGGAGGAGATCGAATGGTGGCGCTGGCTAGCGGCCGCCGTCGCAACTATTTTGCGGGAATAACAATTCCGCCGCTAGTATTCGTTCAGCCATGGAGGACGAAGACTTGAGGCTCGTGAAAGGTATGTGGAATAGTTATCTGCTCGAAAAGCATCTGCAGGGGGGGTAGCATTAGTCCCTGCTTGTCTCGCTTTGCTTTAAATGTCGCCGCTATCTCGTTCGAAGCAAAAACCAACCCACGTCTAGCCGCTAGCGATTGGCCGCGTCGCTCCGGCTGCGCGTGCCAGGTCGTGCGTGATTGACGCGGTGTGGCGATGTTTGTGCGCTTCCTAGGTTGGAGAAACCGTACTCGCGGAACTCGCGCATTGCTTTTCAGTGTCCTTGTCACTTGCAACAACAATCAGCCATATCGGCGAGAGCAAGAGATGCCTCGTTGAAGGCGAAGACGTATCGAAGTCCGATCATGTGATAGAGTGCAGCGTCGCCCCGGAGCTGACGGCTGACAGCGTCCGCATCGTCGGATACGTCCTCCAGTCCTGCGCTCTGCACAGCGATCCGCATACAGTGCATCTCACTCTGAACAAAGGGGAGATTGTCTCTCTGTGCTGCACGTGCCCTGCAGGGCAAGAATGCACGTTTCCACTGCGTTTTTTTTTAACGAGAGGGGTTAGGCGATAAACCACGTTTTATTAGACGACATCAGTTCCTTCATCGTTCTCTTAATCTGCAAGGTAGTTTTGTTATGAAATGTTGCACTGCCTAGGCATTCCGTAGTTAAGAACTGATTTAAGTGAGGAAATCTACGAGGTGTTGTAGAAGTGGTGTAGAATGCAAGAGATATAACAGATGTGTGTTTGTGCTGCCCCCAGAAAGTCAAGCGAATGCAAGCACTGCACTGCTGTCCTGCTGAAAACCAACAGGATGCAAGAGCTTCCAGTTGTCAAGCACAGACTTGCCGCAGGCTTGGGGCCAGCATGCGAAGGATGTCGTCAAGACCAAGTATGCAGTGAGGTCTCTCATGGAGATCCCCTTCTGCCCAAAGGTGAGTGCTGTGCACAGCGAATATGTGCATATTTTTTTTGAAGTCCCGCTATCTTGAAATGCCAGTGCAGATTTATAACATCTGTACCCTGCATGTAGGTAGATATAATGCTTGTTTAAAAATAATGGTAGCCTTCAATAGTGTATGCATGCTTTTATAACAAGTGCATTGCTGGTCGGATTGACAGCGCATGATCGCCGTGCAGAGTTCAGTTACGTTTAGCTCGGGGCCAGAATGCGCCCAGCCAGCTGGCGACAGCCTGGGCTGGCACTTGGAAAGTACGCCTGAAACTAGAACTTGGCTGCCATGTTAAGGAATATGCAAACAGCTGGAGCTAGCTGCTGAAGTTTCTGGAAAATGCTCGAGTAGCTGGAGACAAGTCGCTCACAACAAAAGGGACCTCCAACCATACTAAAGGCAGAAAAATGGCCCTGCAGATCGCTTCCCGATACTCCATTGTCTACCTTTATTGCAAGCCTGTCTCGGACAACATCAGGGCTAGACAAAGGCAACAATGCCAGTCCGACTCCGAATAATGAACCAGGCAGCTACCCTGACCGTTATTCCAGCCAGGGTGGTTGTGTCCAAGCCGCATTTAAGTTGAGGGTAGAATGTGGGGTGCGGTTGCTCAGAGACGCCTCTAGGTACCCTAACCAAACAAAGACCCCTTTGGACACCATTGACTTGTCTCCAGAAATACTGGTGAGCAACTTCCGTTGTCTTGGAAGCCGGTGCCCAGTTCTGGTATGGGCCTCTCTCCAAGAGCCTTGTCCTGGCTGCTGGTCTCTCAGTGTTCCATACAGACAAATCACAGATAGCCAGGCGCATTAGGGTATTAGTGGATAGTCTGTTTTAAATATTTTCGTGCCAATTATGTTTAGACTGGTTTAAATTTTTGTGCTGAGCTTCAACTGCGGTGAACGTAGCGAAACATAGCAAAAAAAGTTTCTTGAAACGTGCATTGCTTGGAAACAAATTGTTCGGCGTAATGAAATTTACTAAACCAAGCAAACAGGATCCCTTCCTGATGAAAGATGCCAGCTTGGCGTGGCCAATTGGTGGTAGAAAAGTGGCTGGCCAATTGGCTACATGTTTACCCTTAAACTGTGGCCGCAAGCGGCTGTCGTCTGCTAGCCACTGCGCCCTGCGCCTCTACAGTGTATTCCGCTGCTGAGTGGCAGTCATGGCGACAAAGCGTTGCCATTGTTTTTTTTGTTTTTAAAAGAGATTTCCTACATCTCTGACCAATCACAATCTTTGATGCCATCAGCTATATGAGTTTAACATTAACCTAGATAAGGGGTGTTTGTGGCTCGTGGAAATTAAAACATGATGCTCTATCTAAGACTTGGTGAATTACTAATTGTTCTCTGGATCTCAAGAGTCACGAAGGTGAACAACACATTTAATTGAATGTACCTGCAAACTATTACAGTTCAAGCGACCTGCCTTGCCAGCCGTCGAGCGTTGTGTCATGGACAGACTTATGGAAGGCCTTCCGCACATCTGTCCTGTCGCTATTCACAAAAGGAAGAGAACACGAAAAGGTAAATCTCGTTTTTTTTTGCAAAGACTTTTCTCCCAATCTCTTGTTTAAACATACCTAACTCATTACAAGGTGCAGTCATGCCTTTTTCTATGGCGAAACTAGTAAAGTGCAATGCCGTAACATGTGAAGGTTATCCCAGTTGTGATCTTGTGACTCTAGGCACTGTTCCACAATGGGGCTAAGGTAGGCCAGAGCCGTATATGTAGAGAGTTTGGTCAATGGGAGGCGCAGGCAGAGCCAGGGCGTGCGGCAGACTCGGAAAGAGGGCTTGCCATGCTCTCTTCACCAACCAGAAGCCGAAAAGAATCCCCTAGCGGTGATAGCGAGAAACAGTTCTGATCGAAAGTCTGTGTTCGTATATGGTTTTAATAAGTACGTAAGAGTGAAGTGTAGTAACTCTTGGTGGTTGAAAATAGGCTCACGTGTTGTTTTGATCATGATTATCGAGAACGATGTAAGAAACGAATGCGCCGCTCAACTCTGTTTTGCGCGGACAGTGTGTGACCGCTCAAATGGCAGATTCTCGGCCCTTGGCGTTTGACGTACGGATTATGTCGATCGTTCCGCTACTTGCACTCTTCCACCATCATTTTTGATGAGCGTGATTGGTACATCACGTGTACCATATTTTCAGCCATCCAGAGTTACTCCAATGCAGTTATCAGGTTTGTTCCCGCCACCACCGCCAGGGTATTATTTCCGGCTTTTGGTTGGTCACATTCGAATTTCTGAAGACGCCCTGGAACACGCCCAGCCCGCTTTCGGCCAATGGCGCCTCCTCATTGGTCTCCTATACTTCCCAACAAATGGCCAAACTCTCTACATATACGGCTCTGAGGTAGGCTAATGCCCACCAGTATACTATTATAACTCCTGTGCCATAAGTTACGTCCCCTATTTCAGAGACAGGTGGAGCCAGCACTTCAGCAGCTGTGCCTCGACCCTGAAGCCTGCTTGAAGCGCTTCAGGACCTGCCTGAGGAGGAGACCGAAAACCTGCTGGAGCAACTCAAGCGCATAATGACACGAGAGGCTATTGCGGAAGTTGAGCGCATGACAAGGGCACAGGCCTCATCATCTGATTGGATGCTGTACAGGAGGGGTATGGCCACTGCATCCATATGCCGTGGGTTCTTTACCCGCGCTGTCACTAAAGGCTCAACCACGGCCGCACAACTTGAGAGGTCTCCTTGACAAAGTGTTGCAAGTCAGCACATTTCAGTCAGCGTCAATGAAGAGGGGACAGCAGAAGGAGGGAACTGCGAAAGAGAAATACCTATCAAAGCTGGTGAAGGAAGGACATTGTCCTAGGATTGAGAACGGAGGGCTGATAATATGGGGCCAAATGCCCATTATGGAGAGTTCGCCCGATGGGATCGTGGTGTTTGAGTGTGAATGTTGTCAGGGAAAGCGGGTGCTTCTGGAAGTCGAATGCCCAGAGGTCGTCTAGAATTCGTTCTGTAAAAAAAACTAGAGAGCCCCAGTCCGTCTACTACATGCAGATGCAGGTTTGCATGGGTATCACTGCACTCGCAAGTTGCGACTTTTTTGCTTATGTCTCAGAAACAGACTACAAGCTAGTTGAAGTGAAGTATGATCATGCTCACTTCGAGGAATGTGTGCATGCTGTACGGTCAATATATGTGGACTATCTTTTCGCTGAGCTAAGGGGGGCATTTAACTAGCTTCCTTTTTTGTTTTTATCCAAGGTGTGCTGCAGTACTGTGCGCTATGGAAGCCGTGCAAAACGACTACTGTGCAACCCTCTTGGGCAAATCAGGCATAGAAACAATGAGGCACAATTGAAATGAACTTCTTTATTTCTCATTTTTTAGCACACGCTTAGCATGGATATAGCTTCGCATCATAACTGACACGCCGTCATCAAGACTACCCATGCACCCATCAAGACTAGGCGCACTGATGTCAAGTGTATTTGTCGCGAGCCAATTCATAATAACTAGAGGCTTATTTTTTTAACTATTTACTCATTTATTTAGCATACGTGCAATCTAGTTGAGATACTGTCCCATCATTTTCATCTCTTGATGACAGCGCGTAAATGACGTAAGGCCAAGCAAAAGCCTCCTGCAATATTCACTGCTGACTACCGTGCCCAATATTGCAGCTACATGACATATTAGTTCCAAAGCGAGCAGTGCTCGCTCACAAAGGCACCGCCATGTTTCCCTGCTGCCTTAATCTTCCAGTCACGTGACCTAAAATTTCCCCTCGTAAGGAAATGCGATTAAATTTTTACTGCGGTTAAAGTTAACCGGCTTTTAGAAAAATTTCATAAGCCTCGCACAAAACTGGTCTGAAGTTGCACTGATCCCATCCAGCATACCGAGTTTTCTGTTACACATTTTATAGACTAGCACCTTTTCCGCACAAAGCCTTCATCACATTGCGAGCACTTTTCCCGATGTTTGAACCCGCATAAATGATGATACAAGCCGCTAATACGCATATTTACTCTATTTACATGTGGCTTCCTTGCCAGCTACAGAAACTTATCTTCTGCAAAAATTGGCAGTGAAAGGTTTACGATACCTGCAAGGAGCTGCATTACATCGTCAAACAGGAAGCAGGTGCTTAGGAAAATGATGCTGCAGAATCTTGAACACTTTTAGTCGTTGAATGGCACGTTCCACGTGGACACGTGCAAGTGCGATATCTTGGTTCCCGAGTGCGTCATGTTCAGTCATCTGTTGCTTGTTCCTCAGAAATGGAGGCTGCACAAGCTCGACAAGAGCCTCGTCGCAAAGCTTGTCAATAAGGAAGCCCTTGTCGACCATTACCTGCTCGTACGGTGAGCACCTCTCCAGAACTCGATTCCTTTGTGATAAAAGAATGCGAAGTCCGTCCCCCAAAAGCACGGCTCACGAACGTAAACATGCCAGTTGGTGCGTACCCAATCAGCACTTTTAGGGTGTAGGTTTTCTTATAATGACTGTACATCAGTATCCTGGATGCAAGGTCAAGTGGTCGCTGGATGGGGATCTCAGTGCAGTCCAGAATAACTTTCGTGCGAGGAAACTTTTAAAGTAAACTGTGAGGTTGTTCTCAATAGACTGGTCGCAGGGAACATACAGGGCTGACCCTAAAACCGAACTCAGGACACAAAGGGACATCTTCACGTTCTCAGACGCCGTTGTTCTATGTATCCTGAAAAGGAACGCTAGGAAACTGATAATGACATCATGATAGAGCTTCATCAATGTGATGAGCACAGTGTCACCTGAAGAAAGCAGGAAGCTCCTCGAAGAAAGCTTTGCTCGCACACTATCGAACTCTGTTACAATGTTTCTCATTAGTTGTAGAGATCCAACCCCAGTTAGTGAGGCAAGCTCGCTGTCACTTTTAGCTTTCGCCAAGCGAACGTGGGGCCCTAGCTTCGCCTGCAACATGCTGTCTACTTGAACGCAGGCATCCTGGGCAGGCAATTCCTTTTGGATGTTCGAAAGGGAGTCGTGGGGCCCTACAAAAAAAAAAAAAAAAAGAATGTAACAGAAATTTACATTTTCAGCATTTCATTACAGTGTGTGTGCAGTCATGACCCACATGGATGTGAACGTCGGATCACCAACCACTCCGTACTGGCAGTGCCATGGAGCAGTGGCCATAGTGCCCTGCAGCTCAGTTCCAGAAGCGTCAAAAGGCGAACAAGCTACCATGGCCATAGCTTCATGATGCTGCAGGTGCGGAGTGATTGATGGTCTTATGTTCACCTTCATATGTACCATGACTGCAGCGAGGCTACACAAAATACAGCCGTGTCATATGGTGCCTGTAAGCAGCTTTTTGCGGCCCACAGTGCAACCAAAGTATTTGCCACTATCCCGGAAACTGTAGAATTTCTTTTTTGGAAAGCTGAAACTATCCCATGCTCCCCGTCCTCCTCTACCCCATCCGATTCCCCGCATCGTCCCCGATCCGATAACTGCTCGGAGTACACTGACAGCCCTCAGATGCTCAGGAATTTTCCACACGCCCTCGCATCTCACCATCACCTTGATGCCTTCAGTCCTAATTATCAGCCCTCTTTGTTCACCTCAGGAGAGGCTCGCCCCTCCCCCCCCGGACGCCGCTGATGCGGTACCATGGTGCTAGGCCCCCATGGCCGATATTCACCAAGCTTCTCCAGACGCCTAACACTTATTTTTTCACCTGGCTCTCGAGTAAGGGGCTCTTTATTTTAATAAAGATTTGTCCTCCTGCCCAAGTGTGAATCTTTCTGCTTGACCAACACTGCTTTTTCATCAAGTTCCGCCAAAATGTTATGACCCTAAAGGTGAAAACGGCAGAACACGCACAAAATGAATACAACAGCATAGGTGGCAACTATACCAAAGCATAACTTCCATAAATGTTTCCAGCAATGGAAGACTGCTGGGTTAAGTGTTCAAATGCGCAAGGAGCATACTTCGAAGGAAATTTAGGAGTTGGACACCGCAAGTATAACCAATCTTTTTTTCAGGCAGTCGCTGGAAATGAAATGTTTTGTAATGCCGAAATCACAATAAATTGGCATGCGGTGGTCACAAAACTTGCATTGTATTTCACTGTCACTGCAGTGACTGCTGGTCTCCGCGCAATGCTCGTCACAGGTGAGAGTGGCCTCGCTGTCCCCATCACAGGAAACGGTCTCATCGCTCTCACCTAGTGTAATTTGCAAGGGATAGTTACAAAACTACTACACTATCTCAAACAAGGAATGTACCAGATAAAAATGCAGGTTGTTATTCTCAGATTCAACCCATTCAAATGGGCAAGGTGGCATTTAGCCTAGCTTTTCAACACTTCTGTATTACACAAGAACAGCCTCTGACATACAAAGAGACAGTAACTTGGCAAGCCGTCATTGAGTGTGAGGAGGTGACCTAGTAATAAACTCACAGTCTGTTGCACATTCTCGAAAGCAGTCAGGAGGTGCTGTGTTGATGCTGCAGCACCAGGAGGCAAGCAGCTCGTGTCGGATGCTGCCCTGTTACCTGTGGAAGTTTCACCAAAACATCAACCAAAATAGTCATTACATTATGTTTTCCTTGAAATGCCAAAATACAGAACACGACGGCGAGCGTTATAATGTAGAATGTTGCTAATTAGACTGCATATTGGCATTAAACGTACAAGTTGTCTTTTTCAGTTAAATTTATCGGTTATTCGAAGGTTCACAATGAAATATCAATGCGTTCTGCACGATGAGGCCTTAGTCATACGCTCATTTGCAAAGCTAGCCTGGAATAAAATAGAGATGAAATGATAGCAGTACCTCTCGGTGGCTTCCGAAGCCTCACGACCTTGTCGTGTGATCCCTTCGGAAGGTTCTCCGACGGAACGGCGTTTTCAAGAACCTCCTCTTGGGCCCTGTTATGAAAGTGGTTGTGCCGGCAGCCGGGCACAACACTCGGGAAAAGAACTGCCGAGAGTTTCAAAGGGCAATAATTATTGTAAAAAAAAAAAAAAAAAATATTGCCAAACGTTTAAAAAAAAAAAAAAAAAAAGTTTGGTTTCCAGGGGATTTGAACCCGCGACCCAACGCATATGACGCGGACAACTTTCCACTGAGCTACTCACGCACCTTCAAATGCACGCTTTGACTATTCCTTTTATACGAAACCCAATGGCAACAACTATCGGCAGCTTTGTTGTTTTTCACCCGGTTAGTTCTACCGGCTGCCGGAAGAATATCCACTACCTATGAAATACAATGTACGGTTTGAACGGATGTCGATGGAAGCGTGATTTACGCGCGTACATACCTCGTCCAGTAGCGTAGTTTGCTTGGAAGGCATCGCGTGAGAATACACGTCGTGCGCAGTCAACTTCTTCTCTACTCTTAACCTTTCCACTGCGATTTCAGTTTCTTTTTCGGCAGGAAAGCTATGAAAGCTACCTCCAGACTTTAAAGCATGCGCTGAGCACTCCGGTACGCAACCCAAGCGTGTACCATATTCTAACAAACCCGCAGGGAACGCGGAAACAACACGGCAGCCAACGGCAGCACACTGGAACATCGGAGATGTGTTTGTTTTGGTGAACGCAGCGCACCCTATAGTTCGATCTCCTCGCCAATTGACTACTTTGGCGGACCAGAGAAAAGCCAAACATTGGCATGTCCAAAATACCCAAATTAGGCGTTGATCTGGCAGTTATGGCTCAAGTATCGCACTACTTCGGCACTTCTGTGGCAGACCAGAGAAAAGTCAAACTTTGGCCCGTCCCAAATACCGAAATTAGGCGTTGCTCTGGCAGTTATGGCTGAAGTATGGCACCAAATTTGGCGCTCCTCTGGCAGTTATGGCTGAAGTATGGCACCAAATTTGGCGCTGCTCTGGCAGTTATGGCTGAAGTATGGCACCAAATTTGGCGCTGCTCTGGCAGTTATGGCTGAAGTATGGCACCAAATTTGGCGCTACTCTGGCGGACCAGAGAAACGCCAAACCTTGGCATGCCCCGAATTCCCAGATTAGGATTTACTATGGTAGGTATGGCTGAAGTATGGCACCAGCTTTGGCACTCCTCTGGCGTACCAGAGAAGAGCCAAACTTTGGCATGCCGCGCAAACTTTGGCCCGTCCCAAATACCGAAATTAGGCGTTGCTCTGGCAGTTATGGCTGAAGTATGGCACCAAATTTGGCGCTCCTCTGGCGGACCAGAGAAACGCCAAACCTCGGCATGCCCCGAATTCCGAGATTAGGATTTACTATGGCAGATATGGCTGAAGTATGGCACCAGCTTTGGCACTCCTCTGGCGTACCAGAGAAGAGCCAAACTTTGGCATGCCCTAGGATCGCCCAACTTTGGCAATAGTTAGGCACCGTACTTTGGCACTGATGAGTGCCATGGTGCAAAAACCTAACTGAGCCAAAGTTGGGCCCTTATGATTGCCAGACCTTTGCCCAAGTTGGGCATTCCTCTGGCGTGCTACCT